CGCCTCCTCTCTCTCTCTCTCTCCTCGCCGATTACTCGCGCTTCACGCGAGATTAAGCGTCGTCGATGGCACGCTTTTACACCGGATGACTTTCCGCGCTCTAAACTCTCGCGCAGCAGTCTCTTGCGGAAATGAGAAAAAACGGAGAGAAACAAATAACTATAAAATAAGAGTTATTTATTAGCCTTTGCACTCTGCAAATTAAAAATGTTTAGCTTGTCACACCGGGCAGAAATTTAATTTTTTTTTTACGCGAACATGCACTCGTGACGAAAGTTATTCTCGGCAGCAGCTTTGAGAGAGCGAGCAGTCACGCAAGTTCGAATTTTACAATGAGATATTTATGCGCACTACTCCGCACGGCGATTCTTTAAAGGACAATCAGGTTAAATGAATTATATCCTCTGTTTCTGATACGAAGCTTTCCGGCGGCGGTTGTATCGCGCATACTGAATACGTTTTTGTAAGCATTAATCGGTGGATATCTGGATACTTCTACACTTTGCTATGCAAGCCAATGGACATCGTACATATATGCCCTGCGGCCGCAGCGAGCGTCTTTGAACAGTATATTTACGCTCTTCTAAAGGATTAAAAGTTTCATGCGTTTGCTCAGCGCTCGAGCGTTCGCCAGCTGTTTTTTAAGAAGACCTCGTCGGAAAGCTTTAAAGTGGACGTTTAAAAATCTTTTTATTTTTAATTATTCCGCTAGGATTATTCCGCCTTTTACAATGCGTCCTGACGATATGCGTCATAAAATTTTAAAACAGTCGCAACAACGCGATCGTTATCTTAATAATGCTAAGGTATCAAAGAGGACGTAGCTCGTGCTCCAGTTACTAATTGTACGTTTCGCGCAGTCGGTTAATCTGCTCTTCCACGGACGGCTTCGGGCGATAAGCGAGAGAGCGGTGCGTCATCTGAAGGAGTGCGAATCAGCTCGATGATTTTATCTCGGCCAGTACTCGTGCGACTAATACGTGGATTTGATATTTTTTTATTTCGGATACCTCGTAAGAAATGGGAGGCTGATATTCTCTTATCCAGAATTAGCGGTTCTCTTTCACATCTTCACACGCGCACCTACGTAATAGACACACGGGCGCGATCGTGATTAGCGCTTATTCGCAGCTTCACGATATTGGAATTGACGGGATGATCGGCCCCGTATCTATTCCGATCTATTAGGATAGTTAACGTGCGCGGAGCAGCAAGAACATCATCGCGTACAACGCTGTAACAATGACCGTCTATGAATTCCAGGAATTCTCTGAGCTCGTAATAGCTGTGGAAACCGATTCGATCTCGTTTCATCCGAATGATCAAACTTACACTTGATAACGCGCTAATTAGAAATCTTACTTTTGATAAAATAGAATTTCATTTGCGTATTTCGACTGAAAATTTTTTATTTCTATTTGTCCTGATCTAAATTTGTCCACTGAACTTGTAGGAATTCAGGATAAATAAATGAAATAAATATATTGTAAAAGAACAAAAGAGACAAGTGATTATTTCGTTATTCACAATCGATCGGTAGTTTGTGATTTGTAGACTCGCGATGGTTTCAAACGCAAATTCGTAGTCAGTTCAGATATTCTTTTCACTCACAATCAATCGGAGTCGATCGATAATATCCAGACAATTCAAGGTGTCTATTTGCCTTACGTAAACAGATCATCGGCTGTTCTTGTCTTCTCGAATAATACGATACGCAGCGAGACAAACATGCATAATGCGTATTCTATCATGTTAAAATATTTCTACAAATTTATTTCCTTCTCGATAATTTTCCATAATCGATAGTCTATTGCGAACGCACGTTCGATGCATTGTTGCGCACGAATTACCGAGATCGGCGGAGACGGTTCGGCGTTGTTGCATAAGCACCGGGGATTGCATTTCCCGCTTCCTGGTGTTACGCGAGCGCGAGGAAAGTCCGTGGCGAGGGAGACGCGCGACAATAGAAACAACAACGACCGCTGCAGGAAAGGCGGGCGACGATGCAGACGAGGCGAGCGCGCCGCCGTCGTCGTCGGATACGTTCACCCTTTCGCTCTCCCTCGCCTCTCGTCCCTCCCACTCGCTCTCACCTCTTCTCGTTCGTCGCACCAGCCGGCGTCTCTTTCCACTCTCGACCGAGCAACAACCTGCGATTAGGCGAGCAACGCCCTTCTGCTCTCCCGAGACTCTGCGAAAGAGAACCGCGTTGAACCGATCTTAAGATCGGCACGTAGCGATTTTCAGCGCATCGATTCTCGCATTGATTGACTCGCGCGCGCGCGAGAGGATCATCGCGTGGTTATCAGCGTCCTCGGTCCGGTATCGGACTGTCCTCCATAGATAACACTCGAACAATCGTCATTCGTATACGTGATTCATCAAGAACGGAAACACTTTCTTTGATGACGGTGCGTAAAATAAACTTTAAACGCATCGAAAGACTTCTAGCATTTTGACGCGAATTTGATGAAAGAATTTCTATCATTCTTTTATTATTTCTTTCTAATTTTTGTGGGTTTTTTGCATTTTTGCAGGTAATGCAACAGCAACAACACATGGCAGGCGGGATGAGCGTGAGACCGCCACCACCCGAGTACAAGACCGCGGCCCAGGCGCAGATGATGCACGCTAGCATCGGAATGGGCCAGCAAGCGAGATTCGCGAATGCCGGACCCTTGCGCAGAGTTACGCAACAACCCATGCCGCCGTCAGGTAAGTCTGAAACATAAATCCCATGTCGTCTCGTTTATCCATGTGTATATGTATGTTTTTTTTTATTTTTTTTTTTTATTTTAGCACCCCCGAAATATATGAGAATCGATCGTGTTCAGTCAGCGAATGAAAAGAGCCAGTTAACATATAATAAGATTCGTTGTTTGATGATGAATAACAATGAAGGTAAATATCCGTTTTTGTCCGAACATGAATTACGTGTTGAATATTAACGCGAAAAGAATTCGGCCGAATGTGAACGCGATGCTGGCGTTCTGCTGGATTCGCTCCAAGCTAAAGGGTGAAGGGGGGAAGAGGCGGGGGAGTGACGAGGCGGAGAGAGGGAGTCGAAACTATCCTTATATACCTCTACAAGACTCCTATCGATCGGGTCGACGCCGGTTTTCCCGAGATTCCATCTGAGCGAAAATCTGCGGATCCTTTACTATGCTCTCCCCTTTAATTTGCTGAATACGATTCTCGTTCTAGTAATAATTCAATCCCCCGACTTATTCGATGGGTTTTAAAAGAATTATTTAGAAAGGGCACGATAATGTACAGGCAAGTTTTGATAAATTTCCAACACTCACGCGGTGTCAGAATTCTTGATTCACACGCGACTTTTAACCTGGACACCTGTGTCCCGCAGCATTACGGCACGTGGATGTTTTTCGCAGGTCCGATGATGAGGCCGCAAATGGCGCAACAGCAGCAGCAGCAGGCGTTACACGCGGCCGGCGGTAATATGTACATGGGCGGCGGTGGGATGGCCGCCATCGGCAGTATGCATCAGATGCATCAACGGCTAGGGTACCCGAGAACCAACAATCAACGGCCGCCCAACGTCAGCGTCGGCCCTCCGGACGGCCTTGGGAACAGCATCGCGGGCCGCGGCGCCCAGCAGGAGTGGCGGCACGTCCTGATGCAGCAACAGCAGCAGCAGGGCTTTCAGGCGCAGATGCGATCGCAATTCAACCAGCAAGGTCACCAAAGTGAGTATCGAGAAACCGGGCCTTTACTCGGCCGCCGGCTGGCACTACCGCGTTCGCCGAGAGGAGCGGGTCCGTCGATCGAAATTCGACATGTCTCGCAAGTACAATCAGAGTTTCATTGAGAAACACGCGAGTGTGTTTCATTTTATTTTCGGAGTATAAATGTGCAGGATTTTCACACACGCACAGGTAAATGCAAATTACATTGGAAAAATTTCATGAAGCATTAAACTCGCTTCGCAGGATTTATTTACTATTGTTCGCAAAAAATATTGACGCAAAATTGACACGCGGGATTTTATCAAATCGTATGATTTTTCGCAGGCGGCTTCGGCATGAGTGGCACGGGCGGCACAATGCAAATGACCGCGGCGCAGATGCAACATCAGCAGTTAATCCGCTCACAAAACGGCGGCATAGCCGGCACGGGAATGGCTAACAACACGCAGATGCAGCAACTGTTGACACAACACCAACAACAGACACTTGCTATGCAACAACAACAAAACAATAATCAGATGTCATTGCAGATGCAGATGTCACAGACATCCTCCGTTAATTCGGTCAACGTCACCGGAACTGGTGAGTTTGCGAAGGATCACGGATATTTGCAGAGCACCTTGAGTATATATATAATTATTTAAACGTATAATTTTTTTCAGTACATTATACAGAATTAAGAAACGATATGTTTAAATAAATATTTATTATCCAATAATTAATCGTATAAAATCTCGCATCAAATTTTTCAGTATTTGAATCACAGGAATATGAACACATCTATCGACAATATAGCGATACACACGTGTGATAGAACTAAAGCCTAGAACAACGTTAATGCAAAGATTATTTCTTTCGCAAGAAGCATTTCTTTTTCTTTAATCCGTAGAATGTAACAATTTGGAGATGAGTCGTGTTGACGAATTTGTATATTTAGGTTCTCCGTTGCATCCACATCAGCAATACGGAACGGGTAGTCCGGGAGTGCGCAGTTTACCGCCGCAGCAGCAGCACACTCAACCACCACCACCACCACCGCCCACCACTACGGATCCGTCCGTGGCGGCTGCTGACTTTAGCCTCGAATTCCTGGAAAATCTTCCTACGGACACGTCGAACTTCAACGCTCAAGAGCTGCTTAATTCTCTTGACCCGGGCGGTTTCAATCTCGATATTTTGTAATGAGACCATGCCTGCGCTGTGCGGTTGATTTTAGATGTCGATATTGGGCGCTATGTCGATTTGCAATGTCGCACACGAGATCAACCATTCTTAATGAAATATGTACTTGGCACAGTGATGCGGATGAGTTTTACTTCGTCTGTCCGCGTATCAATTTGTTTGTTAATACATTATATTATATAAAAAGATATCGCTGTGTCTCTATATCTATCTGACGAAAATCTCTTGTACAAAGTATTTGATTTATTTAAACTAATTGAATTAAACGAAAGCAATAAGTAGCATGTTTTTTTAATTTTTTTTATTTTTCTGCTTTTAAAGATGAAAATGAAGATAAGAACGGTTATACGCGACACTATTCGTTCCAAGTACTTCCTTACATTTTGACAGTTACCAACCGGTGCGACAGCGTCCCAAATCGGTCGTAGTGCATTCTCGGTCGTCGCTTCCGCGGCCGCCGACTATTCTCTAGGCAATCATGTTTTAGTAAAATTTAATTTTGTAATAATCCGCCGCGAGGCGAAAGGAGATAAACCTACAGAGATGTGGTAGCGTGGGATATTAAGAGGTACGTGGAAATCGTTCTATCACTCGTTTTCTTATTCAGCGACAATCGCGCACTTGGAAAAAAACGCCAGTTCCGTAATTTCCTATTTTTTTTTTTCAAGTTCGCCATGCCTGACTGTCTCGAGAACGATCGATAAATTACCGAGTGCTCGTGTCGACGACACTGCGATGACCTCGACGGGCACTCTACGAGACGATTCTCCTCTCTCTTGATTTTTCACGTCGAAATCCACGAATATAGATAGAGATATTGATATAAAGGCCGATTATAGTTTACTCGATTGAACTTACTCGGTCGCGAAAATTGGTTACCTTGCGCCGTCTCTTAAACACGTCCAAATTTTCGGACGGACGAGCTCGGCCGGGCGTTAATACTTGATTTATAAGAATAATAATGTAATAATAACGGTTAGAAAATAGCATATTTAATTATGTCATTACTGACATATTTATACAATTAACAGCAAGTCAATTATCAAACATTCGATTTTATGAGTTTTTGCGACGCGAAATGCCAAGTCAACGGCAAATCGCGTCAATCCGGTCGATTATATCTGGCAGATTCTTATATGTGAAAGACAGGACGGGGAAACTTCCTCTTAAACTGCTAATGCATTACTAGCATTAATATGATATATAAAAAGAAACCTTCATTGTACATAGATATTGACAACTAGAGAAATTCGAGACGTTAAGACCGCACAGTTTAGCTGAGTATATAAAAAATAAGAAACCTATAATATAGATGAATATTATTATAAGTAGTGATTATATGACGGTAATACGGTGATGTATGCGGAAATGCGTGCAAAAGGAATTAGTGCGAGACTGAGAAGGGAGAGTATGGTGAAAGGCGTGAAACGAATGTATCAGCGATAGAGCACATTTGCTATAATCGATTATATTTATTAAGTTTTAATTATCTGAATGTGCTGTATCGCGGCCGCACACAAATCACGGTAAAAAAAAAAAGTAGATTCCGTTTTCGATGCGGCGAACTACTCGGTGTTTTTCGGAAAAACAAATATTTCTCAGATTTTTTTTCACGCGGAGTGTATCGTCGAAATATTTACCCTTTCTTTTTACCTTATTAGACACAATAATTAACGTATTTCGGATTTTTTTTTCAACTTGCGAATAACAAATAAAACCGATTGCTCTTAAATTCTGTGCTTTATGTTGTCGTTCGTATACGGAATCGTTAATAATTTTCACAATGTAGTTCGATGCTACAAGAAAAGGAATCTGCGACTATTCTTCCAAATAGCGATACATTCCATAGATAACAAAAAAAGGATAGCGATCTGTGGTTCGTCTAATCAAAAGTACCGTTTTTAAAGAGCAAAATTCACGGCAGAGAGGAATATTAATATTGTAATATAAGAGACGCAGATATTGAATTCCGTGCTTAATATGTAGACAGAAAGCACATCCTCGACCGTTCGCCGAAAGTGTGCATGAAGACTTCCGATTGGATTTTATTGTCGCTTGTCGCGATCTTCGCTAAAAGGTAGCGAGTCTCGCGTCGAGTGGATTAGGAAATAATAATAATCATTTTTTAAATTCTCATTCGGGCAGAGTGATGCTGTCGTCTTGTAAAATATTGGGGCCACGAAACATAATCTAAAAAAAAAAGGGGAACGAAGGAGACAGTTGCTCTAATTCTCACGTCAATACCTTTGTAAAATGAGAAAATCGCCATTATACTGATGTTTGTTTGTCGTTTTGTACGTTTCACACGAGCGAGGGGGGGGGGGAAATGGGGAGGCGGAACTGCGCATTGTTATAGGAAAGAGCATCAGGGACCAACCAAGAGAGCAAAGTGCGTGATGTCGATTGTCACAGTGGGTCGTTGTCTCTTTTTTTTTTTTTTTTTTCCGTGCAGATATAATCGGAGGTGTCGATAAGTCGCAGTGCCTAAAAAGAATTTAACCCGAGTTTGTTACCGAGTTGTTCGAAAATTAACAACGGTTTTCAGCATACGCTCGCAAAGCTTGTACAGGAATTTACGCACTTACGCACAGACGGAAATCGTGACATGACGCATCGTTGAAGCTTTGACGTTTACACTGTCGACAGTCGATCGTGGCGGAGCACGACATAATCGAGGCGATGATTGCGACGTGTTAATTTCTCAACGATAAACTTGGTTGGGGCGCATATATATCGCATTATTTATAAATATTTATAAAAGAAACATTATATAACACGGGCATTTCGTACGTAGAATAAATTCCATGTTGAATTTCGAATTGTTATTAATAAAAGCGTTGAGTTCCTACAAAATATCTCTTCACTTGGACTTGAACTTTTCCAAAATCTCCGTTAATCTTACACGTTATTTAACATCGATACTCGTAATCGGCCAAACGAAATCAACCCGATCTGTTCGTTGGAAAATTTTAGAGGCGATAAACTCAGGGTTTATCGCGTCGGTATCGATCCGTTTGGAAATTAATGCGTTATCCACTACGTTATTCTGCCGCAATAACGCCCGGCGTTTCGCGACCGGCGCGTAAAATTTTCCACATCCTGCGTCATCTTCCTCGATACGTTCTTTTTTTTTTTTTTCTGGCAGGATTATCAGTCTGCTTCGAGTCAGGATTTTCGTCGCGCACATTTTTCCCTTTCCCAGCAAAAACGACGCTGAATTTCGTTTTGTCTTTCCTTTTTCTCCGTCGGCTTTAAAAATCCTCGGCTGGTCGAGGACTAGCCGCCTTGCGCGTTTCCATCTGTGTTACGATCCTACACTAGGTCGAATGGCAGCCTAACGTTGCCGCTCGTGGGTGGGCCTCGCGGCAGGAGGATCAATATCACCCGTGAGGGAGAGAAAACGGCCAGACTGAGAATGGGAGCAGGAGGGTAGCAGCCGCCGCCGCCGCCGCTGCGATGAGGGATAAGGATTACAAGGGCGGCGGCGGAAGGGGTTGGGTGGGTGGAGGAGCGCGTATCCCAAAAATGTCAATTCGTCCTTCACGATTCCTCACGAAATTACGATCGTGATAAGGGTTGGCTTGCTCGTCGAACCCGTTCGATTTACCGCATTTGCTTTCGCTCCGATGTTCTCACCTCCACAATTTAACTGCGTGAAAGCCGCATCTTAAAATGTATCTCTCGTCGTCTTCGCTCTCGAAGTGAGTTTCGTTAATTTTCACCTTCACACCTGTCGATTTGTTTAATAGTCACATTTCGAAATCGCCCCAAATTTCTATCTATGTTTCAATGAATATTTTAACATGAAACACGACCGAAAATTATCCCAAGAAGTCGCTTAGATACATACGGTTGTAGCTCCCGAGTCTTCTGCGGCTCGTTGTTTGAGTTTCGGGCGGGCGTTTCACTCGAGCTGCATTCTCATCGATCCAATGCGCAGAACAACGATCCACTGGCCGACATCGCACTCGCACGTATCCAACAATGCTCCGACGTGATGACAGTCGAGTCGCTCGTGAAAATCTATTGTGAAACGCGATATCTCTCCCAAAGGACACGACATATACGACGGGTGCTCGTAATGTTGTGAAATCTTTGTTTTCGATAACAAGCATTTGTACGAACGCGGTGGATACTGAAGTTACATCGTATATACACTTTGAAAAATGAAATAATAACTCCGGGCGCTTGACATTCGCCTTTTCTGAATGTCGGGAGCGACGTTTACACGTTTCCGATATCTTTTCCTTTCCTTCCCTCGTAGTCTTCTTTCTTTTTTTTTTTTAAGGAGGAGAAACGATGAAAGAAAAATCTTGAACGCGAGAAGACTGTCGTACACTAAGACAGTCGACCGAAAATTTAGATATCAATTAACCACCAACGAGGAGGGGGAGATATTTAGTGGGATCAGTATTTCTACGCGAAAACGGTTTTGATATTTATATTTAAAAAAAAATAAAGAAAAAAAACGAGATAAGTTTAGCTGATGATTATCGACGAGGAGACCACGACGATGACGCACGATGCATTGGTTTTCTTTTCCTTTGTCATTGTAAATATCGTAGACGCAGAGAAAGAGAGAAGAGAGTAGATAGATAGATATATAATATGAAGAACGACACGGAATGGACCGGCCGGGCAGTTTCCCTTCCGACGTTATTGCGATGATTGACGATCGCGCGGGCTCTTTTCGATCGCGTTCGAGGCAAAGCGACAGGAAACAGGATTGGAACAACAACCGGAAGTTTCTTTTTCCACGTGATCTCCCGACGCGCAGCGGATCGTTCCCCGAAGAACGAGCGCAAAGACGGATCATTCTGCACTGTGCGAAACGATGCACCGCCCCGAGAATTGTAACCCGGCGGTATTTCGCAGCAAGAGAGATTCGACGCTCCGAATTCTAAAATTAACTTTGTAAAAACATATATGCGCACGTTAAGAGATTGCGAAAAATTGCGCTTGTGGAAAAACTGCGCGACCGAAAATTTCTTCTGCAATCAATTCGCTTTTAGTGGAATGATGTGGTAGCTACGATAACTGTGAATCACTGAAAGAGCAAGTTTTCGGTCGCGTTTTTCCACAAACGACACAGAATATATATGAATATATATATATATTCATAAAATATATCTATATATAATATATATATAGGTAATACTTGGCGATAAATATAAAGAGCACATCCTCGTCGAGAGGAATAATATCGGCCGACTTGGTTCTCTTTAATTTGTTAGCTAACTATAATTTTTAATTATAGTTTTTTGGAAGGGTTTAATAAAAAGAGACGTTCATGATCGAGCGGTGCATCGTCGATCATAGAACTATCCGTCAGATCCGCATGCAAAAATGTTACTATCAAGCGGGGCAGCAATAAAAGAGAGAACGAAAAAGAGAGTGTGCGCGAGAGAGGAGGGAGGGAACGCGTATTTGTAAATAACAGTGCTGTATTATTATTTATGTTGCTACCGTGTGGCGAGTAATAGTAAATTATCGTAATGATACGTAATTTAAAAAAAAAAAGAAGAAGAGGAGACAGAGAGTGAGGATCATACACGCACGGAAAAATGTACATAAGCTATAGGTATATCTCTTCTGATAAAGGATACTTTACGGATAGTTACTTTTATTACTATTATTACTAAGTATAACATGATTATATTATTATAATACGATGATTATATATTATTATCATTATATATGATTAGTTATTACTATTATCACATTATTAATATTATAATTATCATTGTTATCCTTTGGCCAATGATCTCAAAAGAAAATAGTAATTGCGTTCGTACGAGAATGCGCGGCTAAATCTCTTCGCCGATCTTTCAAATTCATTCGACAACACGAGCACGAAGTGAATCCTTCTTATGGACGATGATACGAGCCCTTAAGTTTTAAAAACGAGTTTTATTTCTGGCCTATCGTACTCTCTAAACATGTTTATGACGTAGTCGAATCACACACACACGGCGTGTCATTGTTTCTTCTTCCGCTAATTAACGAATTCACGCTTCTTGTGCAGCGCATTCCAAAAAAAGAAATTTTGTCAATTTTCTTTCATTGCATAAGAATCGTTATGTGAGATACAGTTAACTCTGATATCGCTGTAATATTTAATTAATTATTTTCAGAAATTAGAAACTAGAGAAATGATGTCGCTAATTTGCGAGCACACATACAGCATTGACCAAAAGTATGAAGCACTGTTAAATTAAAAGATGTAATAAATTTTTATACTAAATTATATCAAATATTGGAATATTAAGAATATAATTACGAAATTTACTAATCTTATGATTTTTTTAAATCGATTAAGTGTAATTTGCTATTATTGATTGATACATTACTCTTTATTTGGGACAAAGCTATGCGTTTGATTTATGATTTAAAATGAAGATCGTGTTTACATAATTGATTGTTTAGCCAGTTTTGTCAGAATTATTAAGAATTTGAATTTATACGGTATTGATTTGCCGTCGATTAAATTTCAAATGTTTATAATATATATTTGTGCACCGTTCTGTAACTCCTAGTCTTCTTGCTTGCGATTCGACATCGATCAAACTGCAAATTATAACTGACATATCGAATCATCTTGGTTCCGCTTACACGTAATAGCAATCCGACTCTAAGCAATTCTTCATGAACATGTTTTATCAAATGAGAGTCAAGACATTTTTTCAAGTGTTTATATATTTTTATGCAATGTTGTAGAATGATATTGTTTCAAATATATATTATACAGATAATAAACAAATTTATATGCAATACTCAATACTGTTATCACTTTACTCCTCAAACAATTATGTAGATTTATGATATAGATATACAACATGTTCTCTATCTGTTAAAAAACAATGCAATAATAAAGTAATCTTTCGTTGGGCATTATTTGTTTATGAAAAAACGAAAGATGTAATGAGTACTTCAAAATTTACAGCAATTTCTTATTGAATACTAATTACATGTATTAAAATTAAAATAAGTTTCATGTTACATCCTATTTTAAACCAAAAAAGAAAATATCTGGCTTGACGTTGGCTTGTACTACTGACTACTGAAAAGCGAGGACGTCTGATTTATCGTTAATCTGACACTCAAGCATCCTTTTAATAATAAGATCAACAGTGTGTAAATAAAAAGGTATAATTTATTGTAGGCAAGATTCATTTCTTTATTACAATAGGTTGATCTTGTACAAATTAATTATAGCCTTACAATAATAACAAGTCAAGTTCCTCGTTTTCTTAAAAGATTTCATGATATCGATATGTATTCTATTAGCAGGGCTAAATGTTATGGCAAATTTAGAAATTGTACCCATGTTGTTTTTTTTTTCACAATCTATATTTGTAAAAATTATACGACTACCTCTCAAATTATTTAAGTGGTAAGCAATAAATAATTTTATCAAATTATGTTTTATAAAATGCATAAATTTGTGATAAAATTATTTATTCCTCACTCTCTTCGTAATTTTTCAATAACATAAATTACGAATAAATAGATATAGAGTAATAATTTCGTAAAAATTGTTAAAATAATCATATATACAAATCATTAATATATGTTTCCGATTAATTCCGATTACAGAACTATGAAGAAACTAAAAATTATCATTATTAATGTTACTTGATTATGAAATTCTAAAAAAATGGGTTTTCGCAATTTTCGCAAGGTCACTAAACGTACACTATTTATAAAAAATCCGCTGTCACATCCATCCTACTTTACAGTCTTTGACCAATGTGCTTTATCGTTTTTTTCTTGTTAAATAAACCTAATCTAAATACGTTAAAGTTTTATCTGTGCTTCATTACTAACTGAAATTTTATATTTCTTATCGAAATCGATTGGGTCTTCCAATTGGGAAAATCAACTCTGTACTATTTTATTTTACATGTCATTCTAATAAGGATTAAAATGTTAACTATAATGTGTACGGTAAAATTTCAGAAAGTAGAAGCACAGCTGACTTTAACTTATACAAGGACGAGAGACTGATGTTTTTGCTCTTGGTCAAACGTAAAAATCACCCTGTTTAGCTTTATTATTAAATGTGATTTGCTAATGTATCCTACGAGCAGGATAGCTGGCGTCCTTTGCAGAACAGGAACATAAAGTCGAATTTTTCGACAAAATTCTACGTGTATAAAAAAACATACCTCACCCAAATATAAAGCTGCCACTATACAATATTATTCATTAACGAAAAATATTCTAAATGGAAGTGACAATGAATAAAAAACATTTTAGGCATGTGTGTGTGTGTGTGTATATATATATAATATATATATATAAGATTGTTCTTGACATTCTGTCTCTTTTTATGTAAATTAATCGAAGGAAATGCATTGTTTATATATGGCATTAAGAATTGGCAGTTTAAAAAGTACCGCGTTTTATATCGTACGGACAAGTTTCTATAATGAACAATGATACATGAAATGCAAATGGCAGATTGGTAAAAAGAGCGAATACTTCGCACCCGCTGAGCAGTCTTATTAAAGAGTAAATAGATGACAAAGCATGATGTAAATAGCACCATGTATACAGATTTCTCGGTCATACTAATGGTGACTGATGAATGGGGAGATAAAAAAGAAAGAAAAAAGAAAGAGTTAAATAAACGGAACGTTGACTTAGCTTACATCTATAAGGAGGAGGACGTCGCTCCCCTTCCATCGCTCTTCTTCTCTTTTTTTTTTTTAATTTCTGTTATAAAACGTCGGATAATTAACGTTGCAATTATTATGATACAAGTCATAGTATTTGATCATCGTATAAACATTATTATCATCACAGTAAAAATATTTTATCATATCTTTTTTAACTATCAACTCGCGCCTCATTGCATAAGACGCGCACAACCACGCACACATCGTTTCGTAACGCGGAGGAGGCTGCTTTCTTTTTCACTAGAGTTCGTTTACTTACACGCTAATCTGCTACCTTTTACTTAATATATGCATTATTAAGTAGTCCGTCGGTTCATTTTATACGTAACCAAAATAAAGTTAGTTAGCAAATAGTAAAAATACATAAATGTACCTATGTATCTTTTTGCACTGGAATTATAGTTGCTGGATTAATATGTTAAATTTAAACGATAGGTCATTAAACAATAGTCATTGGTCTGACGACACGGTCGTGATTAACTTTACCTTTCTCGAGTAATGAATCTCTTTTCGCAATCAAGATAATTTCTTACGCACGTCTTCATAGTTGCTATAATTTATTTTTCTCTAATAAATCTCATCCCCTTGGTAGAGTCGAAAGGAATATTATATTTTACGTTTCCAAAATGAAAAAATAAAGATCAATATTGACGTTGTGGCGTTACTCAATAAGCAATTAACATTTCTTGTAAATAAACGATAGCATTTAAATTATTTACATTAATAAACGGCTTGAAAATACAGACGTAGAGAAATATACAAGAATTACATGTGCGTTCTCAGATATATCTATTTTTCCATTAAGCCACGAAATAACGTCGATTATTCTACTTTCAATGAAATAAATAAAATTGAAACTAAATTTGTTATCCGCTTCAATAGAACGTAACGCACGCACTGCTTGCAATTATAAGATGATTAATTACTAGCGATTAGCTTGCAGAATTAAGTACGCTGATGCTTGAACTCTACCCGTGTAGGAGGAGATTTGAGGCGTGATGTATTTCCGCGATATACATCATACGTGCAGCGTGCGTCGGGAAACACGCCGGTGGCTCGCACAACGCTTTTCTTACTTCATAGCTGCCTGTACAGACTGTCTTATCTATGGCGATATAACACCTATGTACAAAATTGCATATTCACAGACATCCGCGCGTCTCAATCGTAGAAGCACTAAGAAACACGCTTTTGCACGCTTCAGTTTGTCCTCGTACTTCGGCACCATCGTTTGTCACACCGAGGTCTGCGTGATACCGTTTCCCGACAGCCACAGGCGTCCGTTGCTCTTCTGATCCGCGATCTCGTACTCGGAATCGTCGATCTCGCACAGATTCGTAGAGAGATCGCTGTTACTCGCGCCGCCCAGCAGCGAGTTTCTCTCCTCCAGCGTGGTGATGACAGAGCCGATCTCGTCCTCCTCGATCACCTTGTGGCATCGGTTACGGCGGGTGCTCGGAAAACCATAAGGCACTACATCGTCTTCTTCCTCGTCGGATTCGAGGGTGCTGAGACGGCCGTTGAGCGGATTCGTCTCGTTCTCGGTGTCGGTGTGAATATTATAATGCGGTAGATACGAGTTCGGATGGCGCAGGTAACTCTCGGAGCTCTTGTACTTGTACTCCCCCTCGCCACCGCTGTCGAGAGGATTGAGACGTTGCGTCTCGGCGCAGTGATACTGCTCCGAGAATTCGGTCCCGCATTCGGAATCGCCGACGTATTCCGACTCTTGATCCTCGTTCAGGGTCTCGATATCCCTCATCGGATCTATCGGACCGTGCACTACGGCAGAATTGCAAGTGTTACGCATATTTCTAAAGAATTAACGTGATAACAAGTGTAACAAAGTTCTATGAATGCTGTAATTAATAGCGGAACGTCAAATTGGCACGAAAAATGTACAATTATGATATCGTATTACATTTTTCGTCCATGCGTGAACATCGACATGGTTAGTTTATTGTTGTATTAATTCGTTATTATTGATTCTGTCATGTTATAATGTTAATAATATACATTTAATTTTGCAATTTTTATTAAGCGTTACACATCACGATATTTGTTAATAAAGTCGCTAAAGTTTCATTGGAATTATTTAATATCTAAATAGTTTGCTACCAAATGAAATACTTGTGACCTAAGTACTGATGAAATTAGTGAACACCAACGTTACGCTAATCATGCAAGAGAGAGAGAGAGAGAGAGAGAGAGAGTCAACGTGCATGCACTATACTCACTTGTTGGCAACTGATGAGTATTGGATTCGTTACTCTCATTGCTGTGGAAGCTGGACGAGTCTGGGACCTCGCTGCCGGGTACTTCCGTGATGTTAGGTAAAGGATTGTGACTCCGCCTGACCCAGTCTGAGCAGTCCCAGTGATACCCTAAAAGCATTGCAGAGACAACGACTGTACTCCGACACGCCTACATGCGATGCAGCATAGTGATGTGCAGTGAAGAGGTAAGCAGAAAATAGCAAGGACAAAATAATAGCACTCAATTGGACATAGAGAGTACAAGCGAGGAAGCGGAGATACCCAAATATGAATACCAACTCTGTCTGGGAAGTCACGCATTTCTTTGCTAGAATCTCCAGTAAATTTGCGAAATTTGAAATAGAAAAGAGTCGTTCTACAATTTTATTATTAAATTATATTCTAGCTTGCATATTTTACGTTTTTCACCAGGTCGATTAATTTCTAGAAGAAATTGCGCGATTCGCAGGACACTCTCGATCAAGTGCGAGCGGAGTGTTTCGACTTACCGCCGACGATGCGAGGATCATCCTCGATGGACGTGACGGACGTGACGGAAGATCCAACCGCATGAGGCGTTCGTCGAGAAGAGTTTAGTAGAAGTCCTCCAGTGGTCAGCTCCGGTACCACTGGACTCGCTCGTTTCAGGTCTGTTAGTGCACACAATACGAATACGCCGGTGTTAATAGAACAATTCGCTAAGATCGAGTCAGAGTACGAGAGCGTACGGAGAGGTCGCGACAGAAGAGACAGAGATTAAAAGACAGTAAGAAAAATTTGAGAAGGGGGGTGGGGGGGCAGAATGACGAGGATGATGAGAGAAGAGACGGAGGAAGCGCCTAGCGCCTCGCCTCGTCAACGACGCGCATGCCACAAGCGAAATAAAAAAGTAAGAAGCTACCGGATGAAGCCGGGATGAAGATTCTTTTCTCTCACTTGACGCTCGATTCACTCACCATTCTTGATCTTGGTGGTGTCGGTAATGAAGGAGGCGAGCTGCATCTGTTCCTGCCAGGTGGGCTTGTGAAGGCTGTCCGTGTCGCTGCCAGTTGCGTTCCCGCCGACCGGATTAGCAAGGGTCAAGGACGGGGGTGGTACGGGAGTGCTGCGGTTGAGATTGCGCAGGTAATCCGGCGGGAAGTTCTCTAGCTCGTCGCCCGCGCTGCCGTAGCTGCGCAAGGTGTCCAAGTTATTTAGAGCCACCGCAGCCGAGTTACCGTACGCGGCCGGCTCGTTGTTCGAGCTGGGAGTGTAGGAGGCGGGTCTGGGAGGGCATTGGGGAGGTTCTCTCTGCAAAAAAGAATCACACAAAAACCTTAAACAGGATCGCCGCCGCGACGTGGGCACGGGAGGGGGTGTGTATCGCGTCGGCAAATCGATGATCGCAAACCAAAAATAAAACAGCATCGAAATCGATTTACTAAAGAGCAGAGAAATGATGAAGGCATTATATCTCGATCGTGAGTGAAATTGGGAAAAAGATATCGCAATATTGAATAAAACTCTCTTCTCATGCCGATGATGAAATAAAATGCCTTCGGACGAATGTACGTTAGTCCTCGGAGAGTTCATGCTTTTACAATGTGCACGACGATTAGGTGAGTCTGAGTGTACCTGTATGACTTCTAAATTGCTCAGTTTCGAACTGCGCTTGAACTCGTGCTCGTGCGGCCGCGCGGAATTCAGGACGATCTGCTTTCGCGTCTCGTTGTTGATGTTATTGGCGCGCGCTCTCGTCCGCTTCATCCTGATCCGCCGGAAGGTGAAGAATATTATGATGAGCAGTACGTTGGACAGGACCGCGACGCCGATCCACATGAGCTGCTCCCACGTGATGTTGAAGTGGCTGGATATGATGGGCGTGGAGAAGGCCGGGTTGCCGCAGTTCAGACCGGTCATGTTCGGCGGACAGATGCACCTGTACGTGCCGATCTCGTTGACGCAGGTGCCGCCGTTCGTGCACGGACTCGCGTCGCACTCGTTCACATCGAACTCGCAGCGTTCGCCGCTGAAGCCCTGACACTTGCAGATCGGCCCGTTGTTGCCCTCCTCGCACTCGCCGCCGTGGATGCACGGATTCGGGCTGCAGTACCTGCCGAACTCGCAGCGCTTACCGCTGAGACTCGGCCCGACGCACTCGCAGACGTAATCGCTGCCCTCCGGCACGATCTTGCAGCGGCCGCCGTAGAGGCAGGGCGACGAGGCGCACGGGTCCGTGTCGATCTCGCAGGCGAGACCGGCGAACCGGCTGTGACACTGGCACTCGTAGCTGTCGCCGCCGTTGTCCTTGCAGGTGCCACCGTTCTGACACGGCTGCGAGCCGCAGACACCCGGCGGCACTAGGATGATGGCCGTGTCGCAGCTGAACTCCACATTAGCGAAGCGCTTGAGGGTCGCTACGCTGCTGGCGCCGCTCATGTGCAACGGCACGGACACCCGCGCGATTCTCACGTCGTCCATGCAGCCGATGAAGCCGCGTTGCACGTCCTCGAAGCCGATGATCGACGGATGCTGCCTCACTTCGGCGCCCAGATACAGATCGTCCGACTGCAGATTCAGAATGTCGTTGATACCGGGCGCGGAACCCTGAGCGAGGTGTTTCCCGTCCACGGTCAATCGAGCGCTGTTGCTCTCGCGATCAAGCTGGATCTCGTGCCACTGTCCGTCGCTCACGTACACACTGCTCACTCGCACGAGACCCTCGCCGCTGCCGAGATCGAATTTGTACTGCATCACGCCGTTAACGATCTCCAGGATGTTGTAGTCGACCTTGCCGGCCGCGTACATGAGATTGCCGGTGGGCTGCACCGTTCTGATCCTCAGGGACAGACTCAGACGGTCCTCGATCGTTTGCCGTATCAGCGTCTTGTCGATCTTGTAGCGCGCGTAGCTCTTGCCGCTGAAAGATATGGGATTCCGCGGGATGTAGCACGACTCGTCGTGGCACTTGGAGATGTCGATGTCGCAGGTCTGACCGGCGTATCCCTCGGGACACTGGCAGGAGTACCCTTGCACGGACGAGTCCGGCACGCAGACTTTGAACATGGGGCAGGGATCCCTGGCGCACTCGTTCACCACCACTTCGCAGTGCACGCCGGCGTAACCCTCCTTGCAATTGCACTCCATCTTGTGCTTGTGCCGCGGCGACACGAAGCTCATCACGTCGGTCGACACGGACGTGATTTGCGCGGGATCGAGAATGATCTTGTCCTGGCAGTCGCCGTAGAAGCAGTAGCCTTTGTTGCACTTGAACCGAGCGATGTCCTCGACGACCAGCTTCGTCGATTCCTCCAGTTCCTCCACGTGCTGGTTCAACGCCTCGAGTATGCTCTCGGACGAGTGGAAGCCTGACGAGCTCGCGGGGCCCATCATCTTCTTCACAGCGAACAGAAGATCGAGATCGTTGTGCACCGCCTGACGGAGCGCCCGCGATTTGATCAGATTCACTTCGTCGGTCGACGGTTGCACGCTGATGATGACGATGTCCTTGAGTCGACAGCTCATCGCGTTGCGAACGGTCCTCACGAAACCTTTGCGATGGCTCAGCATGAAATCCTCCGGGCTGACCCCTCGAAATCTCACGATCATCGAGTTCTCGAGCATTGTGTCGGTCACCAGGTCGACGTTGACTTTCAGGATCGAGTACGAGTGGAATTTGCCATCCGTCACGCTGACGTTTATTCTGTACTCGCCCACGTCGAGTCTGGGTAAGGCCACTAATGTGCCGTCGATCTTGTCTATTTGGAAAAGATCGGTATTCGAGATCGGTAAAGACGGCACCAAACTGAAGAGAAGCGTGTCGTACTGGTCCTGATCGGTCGCGTGCACTTTCCCGATAATGCCGCCGGGATACTCGTCCATGTAAGAATTGATGATCACCTCGAGGGGGGTGATCACCGGCGGATACTGCGACTCCTCGATCACGTTGATTACAACCCACGCGTCCGAGTACAACGGCGGGCTGCCATTATCGAACACGCGAACGTGCAACACATACTTATCCTTCACTCTGTTGTTAAATTTCATCGCCGTTCGCAGAGTGCCGTCCTGCTCGAGTCGAAAAGCGTCGCCCTCGTTTCCGGAGCGAAAATCGAAGGTGTAAGGGTCGGCGTTCGGCTCGATGTCCGCGTCGGTAACCACGAATTGCAGGATCGTGTGGCCGAGCGGCTTGTCCTCTTGCACAACTGCCGTGTAATTTGTCCGGGCGAATAATGGCGGATTGTCGTTCGCATCCAGAATCTCGATATTCACCATTACGAAGTTCGACAGCATCGGCACGCCGTTGTCACGCGCGTGCACTTCCAGCATGTAATTTGCAATCTGAAAGAGAAAGTAGAAGTATGTAGAAATGCGGAGTATCTGGCTTAAGCTTACATTTAAAAGTGTTCGACACTAACTTCTTCTCGATCTAGCGGCGCCGCGACAGTTATCTGTCCGGTTTTCACATCGATGGAGAACTGTTTCTGTCTGTCGCCACGTTCTATAAAATACGACACGTTACTGTTCTCCCCGCTGTCCAAGTCGTTTGCGAACACCTGAAACATTGATAAAATGAAATATTTTTGTATTAAGATGTATTGCTTATGTGAAATTAATTTTTATTAATTTCTTATCAATAATTATTTATAATTGTACAGCACAAAAAATAGGAAATACTTTTCAGATGCTCAAAATCAAGCAAAATATTATAGTTTTCGGCACTTATCGAGAACATTTTTTTTTATCAAACTGTAGAAGAGTGTTAAAATTCGTAACTTTAAGGTACAAACAAGGTGGTCATTTTTAAGGCTCAGAAGTGTAAAGATAAAAAATTTTCAAAAAATGCACGTGAGAGTGCAAACAAATTTTAATTTTTTGTCTGATTTTTCACTGAATTTCAACAGTTTAAAAAAATGTTCAATTCTGAGCGTTTGAAAAGTGTTTGTTGTATTAGAAAAATGACTCTCTGAAATGATTAATTCTAAAATTAATGACCACAAAATAATTGTTTCAGCTAGGAGCTCACCTGCGTAACTTTCTCCTCGATTTTCGCATCTTCCCTCACGAAAGCCCTGTACGAAACCTCGCTAAAGATCGGCGCGTTGTCGTTGCTGTCGGTGATAGTGATATTGACAGTGGCGTGATTGCTCAGCGGCGGAATGCCTCCGTCGACAGCTTGGATCGTAAGGATGTAATCGCGAGCCCGCTCGTAATCCAGCTGTTCGGCGATGGCCACGACGCCTGTCTTGGCGTCGATCTGGAACTTCTTGTGCTCATTGCCGCCGATGATCGAATAATATATATCGGCATTCACCCCCGTGTCCTTGGAGGTGGCGAGCACCCGAGCCACCTCGGTGCCGACCGCATAGATCTCCGGCACTTTCGCGAAGTACATCTTGGAAGCGAACTCCGGCGGATTGTCGTTGATATCCTGCACGTTAACGATGAGCGAGGCGACGCCCATCAGCTGCGGGGTGCCCTGATCGAGCGCTTGAATGCTCACGTTGTATATAGCCTTGGTTTCTCTGTCCAGCGGCTTGGCCAGCGTAATTATCCCGCTGTCCGCCGCGATGAGGAAATGGCCGTCCGCCGAATCAATGAACTCGTATCTGATCTTTCGATTGATGCCGATATCGTCGTCCGTGGCGTGCACTTTTGTCACCAGCGTGCCGATCTCCACGTCCTCGGGCAGCGTACTGCTGTAAGTTTGCATCGTGAATTTCGGCGCGTTGTCATTAAGATCGGAGATAAGAATCTCCAGCTGCGACGAGCACTCCCAGGTCGGCTTGTCCCGGTCCTGCACGTGCGCCGTCAGAGAATACTTCGCTTGGGTCTCTCGATCCAGTTGTCCGACGGTTTTCAGCACGCCTGTTTCTTTATCCAACGAGAACTTGTCGTTATTGTCGCCGGTTAGGTAGAATCGCAGTTTAGCGTTCGGCTCGTCGTCGTAATCGGTGGCCAATACGGTCAGAACGTAGGCGCCAGGATGCGAGCCTTCGGAAAGTATCTCTCTGTAGCGATATCTCAGACAGTACGGTGGATTGTCGTTGACGTCTAAAATTTGCACCGTCACTTTCGTCTCGAATACGTATTTCCCGTCGGTACCAACGATCTCTAGCTCGTAGCGATCGATCGTTTCTCTGTCCAAGGATTTCGCCACGTACACCTCGCCGGTAGATCTGATTTGAAACTGCGATCTAGGATCGCCGGACGTGATGTAAAATTCTATCGGCGTGTTGACGTCCGAGTCTTTATCGACAGTAACCAATTTTACCACAACCGTCCCGGGTAGAGCATCCTCGTTCACCGTTGCCTCGTAACGATCGTCGACGAATGCGGGCGCGTTGTCGTTATAGTCCTTTAGCTTGACGTGCACGGACGTTCTCGCGAAGTGCTTTGGATTTCCATTGTCAGTGGCGACCACCTGAAAAGAATATTATATTAATATAATTGCCTAATATATTTTTTTCAAGTCATTTAGAATACTCATTTAGCGTCACAATCACCTGAAATTTATATTCCGGCTGCTTCTCCTTATCGAGCTGCACCAATGTCGAGATCCAACCGGTGTAAGGATCCACCGTGAATACATTCGCCAATTCGCCAATGTCGGATCCAAAGGAGTAACGCACTTCGCCGTTACTACCGAGATCCTTATCGTGCGCAATGACTTTCAATATAGACGTTCCCTCTTCGATGTTTTCAGCCAAATTGATCGCGTATGGATTACTCTCGAATTTCGGCGCGTGATCGTTCTCGTCCTGCACCTGAAGGGAAATCTCGGCGAGTGCCGTGAGCGGCGGACTGGAATCCGTTTCGGCGAGAACACCGATCAGATGGCTGTCTTTCAACTCTCGGTCCAACGGTCTCGCCAATGTGATCTGGCCGTGAGAATTGATCGTGAAAAGCGGATTATCCTCGTCGCCGGATACTATGCGATATGTCACAGTGCTATTAGTGACGGTTTTGAGTTTCGTGATCGGCGTACCGACGGCAGAGTCCTCTCTTATAAAGAATTTATCTTCCTTTCGCTCGAACAAAGGAGGAATGTCCTGCGGACCCATTATGTAAATGCTGAGCGGTACATCGGCGTGGTGCGTAGTCATGCCTTTGTCCTCCGCGCGAATAAAGAACTCAAACAATTGGTTTTCTGAAAAATAACACAAATATTCACTCGCGATGTCACTCAAATTAATCTTAAAATTTATTTTACTCACAAAATTAACACTATACGTAAATATTGAAGTATATGTTTTTTCCTTACCCCACGGCACAGCGCTCTTCTGCAAATAAAGCGCGCCCGTGTCCGAATTAATGCCGAACAGAGACCGGGCCGGTGACGTTTGCGGCTCGTAAATCGAGTAAACAATCTTGGCCGCCTCGTCCTCGTCCGCATCCTGCGCCTTAACTTTCAAAAAGACTGCATTCAGAGACAAGTTGCCCTGAATAGTCGCTTTGTACTCTCTGATACTGAACACCGGCGCATTGTCGTTCTCGTCGCCGACCTTCACTCGCACCATCACGAATCCGAGCCTGCCGCCGCCGTCCATCGCCATAACCGGTATCTCGTAACGCTTCTGCTGCTCCCGATCGAGCTTCTTGCGCGTCACGATCTCGCCAGTGTGCTTGTTTATGTCGAACACCTCCTTCATCATCTCCGACATTATCGTATACGTCACCGTGCCGTACTCGCCGAAGTCCTCGTCCATGGCCAGCACGTTGGTCACTAGTCTACCGGGCAACTGGTTCTCCAATACGACCACCTCGACCACCGGATTTGTAAACTTTGGATTGTGCCGGTTTGCCGGTAAGATTTCGATTTTCACACGAGTAAAGCTGGTGTAGACGCCGTCAGTAACGGAGACGTTGAGCATGCTGAGCTTCTGCTCGCCGAAGTTCTGCATGTTTATCAGCGAGATAACGCCGGTCGATTGATCGATGTTGTACGTCTGCTGCTCGTTGCCGCCCACGATGGTGTATGTTAGCTTCTCGTCGACGTAATCGGGATCGCTGGCCGATACTACTGTCACAAATTGGCCGCGCTCGGCGTGCTCCGACAGGAAGCAGGTATACGACGGCTGCTCGAATTTGGGTGGATTGTCGTTCATGTCGATCACGCTCACCCAGACGTGCGCTGTGCTCGAGAGACTTGGCACGCCGCGATCCATGGCGATCACCGTGAAATGATGGGACTCGTGAGTCTCGTGGTCCAAGGATCGCTTGAGAAATATTATGCCCTCATCGGGATCGATGTGAAAGAGATCCGTGCTGTTCTCCGTGTCGTTTTGAATGGCATAACGCACCTGTTGATTTATGCCTGTGGAAATGCAAATATGAAAGTTTTCTTTCCTGACAAATGTATTTCAAACTCAACGTTCAAAATTAACAGCGCATTTACCTGTGTCATTGTCCCTTGAGCTCACTCGTAAAACGGAGGTTCCAAAAGGCGCTGCTTCCGACACCGAAATGTTGTAGGAATCCTGCGTGAATTCGGGCGGACAGTCGTTTACGTCCAGGACGAGAATACTGACGAGCACCTCCGCGTAAACGCCTGACACGCTGTCAGTGGCGCGTACGGTCAGTTCGTACTGCTTCTTTTGTTCATAATCCAGTTCATCCACCACATAGATTACACCTAATGTATACGAAGAAAAGATTGTAGACCCAAAGCACAATGCAGCGGAGTGTCCACGTATCCGTTAAAAGAATTGACATGTTTCTTTTGAGAACGATGAAGTGAGTGCGCGTAAGAAAATTAATGTACAATAATTTATGCAATTTTTGTATCATTAAAACCGTGATCACTGAAATTTTTTTTCTAGCCAATTCAAAATAACATAAATTTATATGTAAAACTTATGCGAAATTATAGTTCAACGGATTCGTAGACACTGAAGATTACTGACTCCAGTGACGTAATAATCATGTTTATATAAAACATCGAGATCCCATGAATGATTTGCCAATGCTATTGCGATATGCCTGCACCTTACAATGTACATTTTATGTATTTTTATGCTTTAGAATCTTGTATTATATCATTTGACAGGCTTAGAACATTACTACAATGCATTGAAATCTTATATTTTAAAGAAAGAAATGATTTAGAATGTTTGAATATACATTTAATTCATTTTTATGCCTTATAACGTTATATCATAACACATTAATTAGGTTAGGATTTTAAAATGTACATTTTCTTCATTGTGATGCATTGAAATTTTATATTTTAAACAAAGAAATGGTTTAGAATTCTAAAATATAAGATTTTAATGCATCGTAGTATAGTTTTAGACCTACCAAATGGTATAATACAAGATTCTAAAGCGTTCTAAGACATAAAAATAAATAAAATGTACACACGGATATTGTATATTTTATTTATTTTTATGCCTTAGAATCTTATATCATATCACTTGGCAGACCTAGAACTTTACTACGATGCATTAAAATCTTATATTTTAGAATTCTAAACAATTTCTTTATTTAAAATATAAGATTTCAATTCATCGCAGTAAAGAAAATGTACATTTTAAAGTTCTAACTTAATGTTATAATATAACGTTATAAGGCATAAAAATAAATAAAATGTATATTTTACTTAAACAAAAAAAAAGATGTAGAATTCTAAAATATAAGATTTTAATGCATTTTGATAAAGTTCTAGATCTGCCAAATGATATAATGTAAGATTCTAAAGCATAAAAGTGAATAAAATGTACATTGTTAAAATCTTATATTTTATAGAAAGAAATGATTTAGAATGTTACAATGTACATGTTATTTATTTTTATGCCCTAGAATCTTATATTATTTGATAGGCTTAAAACTTTGGAATGTACACTTTCTTTGGAGAAAAATTGCAATAATATAAAAATGGAATAATGGTCTTACGTAAGATGCAGACATGTCATGCGAGCGGGTCAAAGCTATTGAAATCTCGTGAAGAAAATGAAAATGGGTGGCCAGTGCGTTCACATACAGGCGAAATATTTATGATGTGTCTCGAGCGGAGGTCTCGCACGGATGGTGCGTGTAAGTAGCTATAGTGCTTCAAGTTATAGTTCGTGTGGTTTCATCACGATTATAATTTAACGAGACACGCCTAGATTATGATCGTAGAAAAACGGGGAGTAAAAACAAGATTAATTTCGTGAAATATGGTGAATAAGATTAAAGTGGATTGTCAAAGAGCAAAAGCACATGTGTTATTTTTTTAAATTAGAGAAACTAAAAAAACTCCCCTATCAACGTGCAACAAGCTTCTTCATAAGCCAACATTCATAGCTCGAAGCGTCCTTTCCCCGTATATCACGATTAGTGCATTTAATTAAAATATTATGTGTAAAATGATAAAATTATTTAACATAAAATGAACGTAAAAATAAATACATCAAATATAATTTGGAAAATCTGATCAAATATATCTTATGTAAATTTTATAAAGATAATCGATACACTTGTGTTTGCAGTAATATTATATTTATCTAATTTGTGAAATGAATAAGGAGATCATAACGACAAAGATAGATGTATATATATATATAAGAGGAAATAGGCAGTTATACATTTCAGTGTATTGTTATGGTAATTGACAAGATAATTGAATAATTTGCATCGATAAAAATGTTAATTGGGAATGCAATCAAACACTGCAGAAATTAATAAGCGTACACATATTCCAAACGGTTAATTACATTCTTATGTAAAAATTAAAAATAATTTCACATTGTGCGTAGTGCGAGAATAAGAATCGACTCTCTAAATGTGAATCTAAGTGATGTCGTTCTTTGAGAGATGTTTACGAGATGTCTCCGAATTCGGATTTCACAAAAATTATACAAAACGTCCCTCAGAATTAGAAGCAAGCGAGAAATTCGAATCTGAAAGTTCTACATTGCATCCGATGTTATCAAGTCGAAACGCAAGCCGTTCTCGATTTTAGTTATTGACTCTCAAATTTATCCAAATTGAAATTCGTTGCTCGCGCATTGTTTCAATCCGTTCAACCCAACTGCAGCGATTTGCCTATGATATTACATCGTGCATGAACACAGAGCAGTGTGCAACAATAGCGCAGCCACACAGTACAGACCGATAGAACTAGAATTTTTTTTTTTATACTCACAAGGACCATTGTTACTGTCGGGGGCTGCGAAACAGGGAGATACAACAAAACTTTAATCTCTAGTTTTCATACAAGCGGTCGTAATAGATACATATGAAACAAGTATCATGATTCGAACACAACTAAATGATCTACTATGAAAAATAAACGTGAATACGGACAGCCACTAAAAATATATAACCGGAAAATATATGTACTCAACTCAACTAGAAAGCCAACAATAGAGGAAAAAAATGAATGATAAAATAGAACTCAGAATCGGCGCTTGATTGATTTGAATTTTTTAACAATAAATATTTTCAATAACTGAAATTTTATTATAGATCAGAAATATGTTCATCGACTTCCCTATTTTGATCCCCAATTGATCAATATTGTTATGCAATTAAAACTTAGTAACCAACTACCATAATGCAGCAAAACTGATAAGTTCACTAAGTATATTATACCCAGACTAGCAATATATCACAAGAAACCTTTCCATGTAGTTGAATAGTGTGAGTCCCATAGCCAAGTTGTGAATAAAAATGGAAAATATTTTATTCAGATCTGAACGCCATATTCATTAAAAAAATTTAACTTTTACGTGTTTTTAATCAAAAAACAATATTTGAATACTGCAATAAAACGCGTTTTGTATTTTTCGAACAATATCAGTTTATGATATTTTTGCTACGGAACTAATAGAAAACAATATCGCCAATTCTTATACGTTTCTACCACTTTTTTTACTGTACCATACAATTTTTACGCAATGTTTCACAGAAAATCATTTTCTAATATAAAATTTACGTCTGTCGTCTGATAATGCATGCAGGCAGAAATTTATTGCGTATTTCACTTACCCGTGTTAAAGTCCAGAGCAAACTCCTCAAAATCGTTGCCCTTAGTAATGCTGTATATGAGTTTGCGATTCAAAGGTGACTCAGCTTGAATGGATAACGCAAGAGGTGAATGAACTTCTATACTCTCGAGCACGCTATCCGTGTAGAATTGCTTGTCAAATACCGGCATCGAGCGATCTATCACCTTCACGTTGACTGGCACCTCAATGGAGCAAGGCGTTATTCCTGCAATCATATTTAGAAGCTCATTTAAAACGAGATCAAGCGGAAAGCGAGTTATTGACTTTGCATTTAACAAACTCACCGCCGTCGTACGCGGCGATCGTAAGCTGATACTCGCGATTGTGGCCCTCGAGATTTTGCTTCAACGATATTTCGCCAGTTTTCCGTTCCACCTTGAACAGTTCACCGTGACCTTTCTTCAATTCGTATCTCACCTCGCCGTTATCGCCGCTATCCATATCTATCGCGTGAACCTGAATGACAAGCGCGAGATACTTCAAATTCATGTACAGAATTCAAGTTGGAAAGAATAATAATTTTGAATGTATCATTTTCGTATATATTAAAGAGAAATTCACTCTACCTTCGTAATGACATCGCCTTTTTGAGCGTCGACGGACACGACAGCGTAGTAAGGTAGATTAACGAACATTGGACAATTGTCGTTGATATCGAGTATAGTGACGTTCACTATAACGTGAGCCACTCTGGGCTTCTCTCGGTTCGGCGGGTGACTTTTCGCCTCGATGATTAATTCGTAGTGATCGCACGCTTCTCGATCGAATCGTATGCCGGTGGTTCTGATCGCGCCGGAAGTTGGCCCGATTACGAACATATCGGTGGGATTAAGAATGCTGAAGACAATGTGCTCATTCAACGAGCTACCGAGAACGTTCACCACCACTACGGTCGTAATTTTCGTCGAGTTCTCCAGAATGGCACCCTCGTAAACGTTTTTCTGGAAGATTAAACCGGAATTTTCCGATTTCTCCACCATCACGTTCACCTGCGCCACGTTCGAGTACTTGCCATCCGAAACTCGTACGTCGAGGCGATAGCTCTTTTTCAAACGATCCGGATTGTGGACCGTTATGATGCCGCTTTGGGCATCTATATCAAAGATGTGAGCCTTATTCCCGTCGATAATGTCATATCTAAATAAACATAAAATGCGTCACAAAATCAATTTTTACGAATAGTTTACGAATTCCTTTTTGCGACTTATACGCGTACAACATTTACCACACAAGATCTAAAATATAAAAGTCAAAGTGAAACTAAAAATCTTGACAGCCAAAAACATGTCGAGACATCTTTACAGCACATACCTCAACGCGGTTCCCTCGGAGCTGTCAGGATCCACGGCGTTCACACGAATAACGGCGACATTCTTATACGTTGGCTGCAGAAGCGTGACGTTGTAACCGGATTTCGTGAATTCGGGCGGACAGTCGTTGACATCCGTCACGGCTATCATGACTTTGGCGGTGGTTTCGGACGAGAGCTTCGGCTTGCCTAGATCCGAGACCTTCACGTGAAACGAGAACATGGGTATCGTCTCGTGATCGAGCACCATGACCGTGCGGATGGCACCGGTGCTGGAGTCTATGTGGAAATACTTTCGCGGTAGGTCCTCGACGATGTCGTAATTGAGAAGGGCGTTCAATTCGGAGTCCGCGTCCTCGGCCTTGATGACCAGCGGCGCGCTGGTGTTGGTGAGCACGAGGGAACCGATGCTGGCACCTTCGCTGATCTCGCCGCTGTACAGCGCCTGCAGAAAGCGCGGAGGGTTGTCGTTCCTATCAAGCACGTGGACAATGACGTTGCAGCTGGCCGATGAACCGGCCATATTCGTCGCCGACACTGTCAGATTGTAGAACTTGGTCTTCTCGTAATCCAACTGATTCTTGATAACGATCACGCCGGTGCTCGGATTCACGAAGAACGTGTCGTCGCGATTGCCTTGCACAATCTCGAACTGCAACGACGACGTGCTCCTCGCCTCGACGTGCTTCACGTACGTGCCCAGCTGCTGATTCTCGTATATCTCCGCGGACAGCTCCTTCTGAATGAAACGCGGCGGCGCGTTGTCGGCCATCGTCACCATCATGTGCACCGGCACGGTGTTGGACAGCGCGGGCGAGCCGTGATCGGTCGCTTTCACGAGGAGAATGTACTCGGACGAGACGCTGAGATCGAGCTCGCGAGCGACGCGGATGAAACCCAGCTCGGGGTCAATGGCGAACACGTTGCCGACGTTGCCAGACGTGATCGAGTACGTAATCCTGGCGTTCTCACCGCGGTCCCGATCGATCGCGCACACCTGCACCACCGCCGCGCCAATCGGCGAGGTCTCGTACACCTTGCCCTGAATAATCTCGCTGATGAACTCGGGCATGTGATCGTTGTGATCGTGCACGGTGACGATCACTCGGGCGTAGTTGCGCTTGGCCGGCGTGCCTTGATCCTTGACCATCACCGTCAGCACGTGCTCCTCGATGGCCTCCCGATCGAGCGGCTCGTTCAACGTGATCGAGCCTAGCACCGAGTCCACGTGGAAGATCTCGAGGGAGGCCTGGGTCTGCGCCGCGTGCAGACTGTAGAAGACCTTCTTGTCCTCGTCGTCGTCGGTCGCGTGCAGTTGCAGAATTTTCTCGCCTTTCTCCACGTTCTCCGAGATGTCCACGCGATACGTGCTCTCGGTGAACTCCGGCCGATGATCATTGATGTCGATCACGGTAACGAGCAGCTGCGTCAGCGCCGTGTGCACGCCGTCCGTTACGCTGATAGTGAGATTGTAAAAGTTTTGGGTTTCCCAGTCGAGACTCTTGGCCAGCAGCACGTTGCCGTTGTCGCGGCCGATGAAGAATTCATCGCGCTTGTCGCCATCTAAAAATTACGACGGCGCGCCGGTAGAAATTAAGTAACTTCCTTCGCTCGCTGCATATTCTAGCGTATTGCTTTTATAATTGAAATAAGAAAATTTTGTGATACATCTGGTACATTTTTAGAAAGAGAAAAATATTCATTTTTACTCGGCTGTCGTTTCGAAAAATTAAAAGACAAATTTTGAAAATAGATGTACTTTGATACAAATTTGATAAAGAATGCAATGTTTTCTGGTTTGTGTATGAAAAATGTGCGGCTTCTTACCTAAAATGTCGTACCGCAGAGAATCGCCGTCTTTGTCACTGGCTTGCACAAGAGCGACCAAAAAGCCGGCCTCGTCGCTCTCCGTGACTTTCACGCTTTGATTATTTGTCTTGAACACCGGAGGGTTCTTCGATTCCTTCGGCGCCTCTTGAACTTGAACGGAAACTCGAGTGGTCTCGTGACGCTGAGGTTCGCCGTGATCGGCCGCTCGTATCTATAGAATATATAAGCACACGTGGAAGTTCCGATTCAAATCGAGTTTACATCATAGGAATGCTGGCATGAATATGCTGCATTATAAAGTCAGAATCTAGAATGCAATGTGATATAATTTGCGTAATATGATGCAAATTTACTCCAATTTCTTCTTCCTTCATTCTTCTTCTATACGTCAAGTACCATACAATTTAATACAATTTTATAAGAATAATAAGAAGGAAAAGTTACTGATTATGCTACATCAGGCATTCACTATTTTATTTTTCTGCTCAAATTTCTATTTTTTTTCTTTATGGAACATTAATCTTCAGCATAGTTCATAAAATTCGCATTGAATATCAGCAAATATTATCTCGCACGTGTGGCTTTTCCGATGATTAAGCCTCAAATAAAATCTACTTTGATCAAATTACGGCTTCTTCTTTTGATAAAGAAAATTGTTTGTGAATACACTACTCACTATTAATTCGTATTCCTGACCAGCCTCGAATTCACGCTGAGAATAAACCAATCCCGTGGTAGGATGAATTTTAAACTTGCCCTTTCCTCGACCGGCCTTGATGCTGTACTCGATCCTTCCGTTGTCACCGATGTCTTGATCATGCGCGAAAACCTAACGAAAATTTCAATCATTATCTATCCGTCATTGCGTTACGGCAAACCCATCTAATATGGAGCAAGTTCACGTTGCATGAAAATAATGTTAGTATAATCTATAGCTGTATAGACAGAACGTTGTAAATAAAATCGACGTGTTAGGCAACGACTAGCTGTTTAACAGAATAATTTCTAAAATCGCGAAAATGACTTTCAAGTACTTTCACAGAAAAAAATTGAAAAAAAAAAGTTCTCTCTTCGAACAAACGATATTTCGCTGCAATCCTTTACTTATGCTCGCGAAACGCGCGATTACGATCCGTCATGGTGTCACAAAACAGCGAGCTTTCGAAGTACAAACGAAGTATAAACTGGCATTCACATAATCCGCATGCGGTACATTGAAAAAGAGCCAAGACCTTCGTGATAATAAAATGCAGCGTTCTCCTCCGATCTATCTGCCGCGTGCCGATCAGTCTCAAGCAAGATCGCGCTCGCCGTGACACGTTGAAAGGGAAAGAGAGAGAGAGAGAGTAGTAGTAGCCGAACGAAACGAAAACTGCTGTGCTACGTATAGAGAATCACGTCTCCGTGAGTGCATTCGCATGCTATCTTCAGCAATATGGTGAGTCCGGCGTATACGGAAAAAATATGGCTGTCTATGCATTACTTTCCGCTGTCTCCACCGCCGGCAGTCTCCTTTCCGAGCGAACATTTTTCTCCGCGTACGCCGTCTCGCACGTTTCTGCGCCAACGACGATGCGTTCCATTATTGTTTCCATTACAGTTTCTTTTTTCTTTTTGCGCGCGTGTCTTCCAGACGTCGCGCGGAAAAACGCCGGACCGAGACGCAATAAATTTGACTAATCACTCGTCCGGCTCGTCTCGCACGGAAACTCGCATCTCGATATCTCTTTCAGCGCGTTGTTTTACGCGGCACGCATTTTCACGTTGAAACTGCGTTGTTTGCGATTTCAAACTCGCGTGATGCTCGAGATGCATATATCGAGTCGCTCGCGATGCTCGGACGCGATCGCGCTTGCTGTATTTCCCTCTAACTTTACGTTTAATACGCGGAAACGAGCATTCCTCGATCGCATCTCCTCGCAGATGTTAACGCGATCCTGGAAAAATGAGTATTCCGCGTCTCTCCAGAGTAACAATGGTGCGCAAATGACCCGTGCTAAGCCGGGATTCTGCAGAAAATTCCCAGGCGAAACCGATATCCTTGATATTCGCATCAAGATCCTGGATGGTGCAACCATTAGTAGTGATAAGATAACGGAACATTCTCAGGCGGCAGCCTTGATAAAACAACATTCAGGAGCACAATATACATAGACGAGCACAAGAGAGGTACGAATTATCAAATACAGAGAAAGGATTACGAAAGGAAGATGGACAGAGACAGAGAGAAAGAGAGGCGCGGGATTGAAGAAGGGACGCATCCAAGAATATATGAAGAATTATATAAATATATGTACACGTAATAGATAAAAAGAATGTTGTGTGTGCAAAATAGGACAAGACATTCAATTAATCCTTGAGTGGTCGTGCGGAGGACACCGAGCGTCTCCCAATTACAGACTAAAGCTCTGCTACTCAAGTGTTATAGTTAACAAATCAACTGGCTATCAACGCACGACCAATCAAAGTGCGAATTAAATGCGTGTGGCCCTCCTATCGACGGGCAGCGGTAGCGTAAAAAAAAAAAAAAATGATATATGATCACAGACACATGGTTATATAAATCGTACAGTCGGAATAAAAGCACTGACGAACCAACGCATACAGCTCGCGCAGAAATTATAAGTTTCGGGCCAGTCCCGCATAATTAAATTATAGCATAAGTACACAAGAGCTATGTATATATAATATATAAATGTATATGCTCGCGAAAGGCGCGCGCGCGCGCGCCGCGCCAGGCGCCTATTTTACGTGCCAAGGTGTCCTTACCCTGAAGATACGATCTCCTGACAGGGTGTCGGGGCTAAACGTCTCCCAAGTCCCGTTCTCTAGTAACGTATCGATTGAAAGGTCGAACTCCCGCGAGCGGTTCCTCGATTTCTGTCGAGAACCAGAGAGGACAGCATTTAGCCTCAGGACTGTTTCTATCGGCGATGCGATTTCTTTCTTCGGTTTTTTTTTTTTCCCCCTGTTTTATTTTCTTCTCCCGCAGACTCTAGCGTGTCTGCGCGCCGATCGTTTATCCTCGTTTACTCCTTCCTGCCTGCGACGCCCGACGTCGTCGCGTCACCCGAGAGAGGAACTTAAAGCCGATTCAAGTTTCGACGCAATAAAATCGCGCGGAACTTCCGAGGTGCTTTGCATCCTTTTCAAGCGGGGGAAGCCTGACACTTTTGCATAATGACTTTCGCTCGGCATAGTATTACATCCAGTATCATACATAGCGATCATAAAGCTATTTGACGTGTATTTAATGCACGCGGAAGCGAGATTAATTTTCCCTCGCCATTTTTTTTTCCCCCTTCTTCAGCAACAAGATTTTGACAAATATTCTTTCGTAATCCGGCTAATGCCGTCGTTTCGAAAAAAATTTTTTTTGCGCTCTGCATTTTTTCAGTCGCGATATTTTAGCAGAAAGCGCTTCATCCGCGTTCCTCTTTCCTAACGCAAAGCGGATTAAACGAATTCTGGACATACGTGACAAGGCTTAGCCGTGAGCAAATAACGTTAATATCGCGTGTGCGTTTACGCATGGAAATTGACCGACATTGCAAATAAGCTGTAATGAAAATTAGCAGGCTTTATTTAAGCTAATTAAAATATTATGAAAATTTTGCGCGTTCATAATTATGTTTTTTTTAATAATTAAATGCGAAAACAGAGAGGCACCTTTTTTTCTCGTTACGCACACACATCTCACGACCGAGTTCTCGCGGTTTATGCATAAGTGTAAGCGTTCTGCACTTGAGTATTGATTTTTGAATCAAGGTCGTAAATTCTCTCGTCTTCAATTAGATCCGCACCGTTTCAGCGACGCCTCGTAATTTAATTTGCGCCAGCCGACCTCTAGCCGATGCCCGTGTTTGCAGTGGACGTGCGACATTCATGAAGGGTTCGTTCATGAGGTTCACCTTCGTATTCACAAAAGGTTACGAGATCGAGAGAGAAAGAGAGAGAGAGAGAGAGAGAGAGAGAGAGAGAGAAGAGAGAGAGAGAGAGAAAGAAAAAGAGAGGTGGGACGATGGCAGTGCTTGGGATCTCGTGCTAGGGCTCGTGAACTAAATCTCTATCCTTTCTATGCGATACTCGGTGACAGGTTACTTTGATCACATCGAGAAGAAAAGGCTCTGATGGGAAAACGATAACAAAGCGGGGGGAGAGGAGGAGTCGCAAGCGTTCTGCTTCGTGTTGGTGTAATATATCAGGCTGTTTTTACGATCCGACAGCGTGGCGCTCTTGCGAATTTTGCGCCGATGGAATACGCGAGCGTCGGCGATAGCGCGAGAAGTCGTCATCGCGCCTGACGAGACATGAATGGAATATTATGCTTATGCCGCGGAATGATTCATTATCGCATTGCGGGACGAACAATTTCACAGATAATGCGCGATATATACAACGGGAATATACAAAGGTTGGCACTTTTTTGCGCAAGGGAACAACAACAGAGAAAGCAGGGTCGTTTAGAAAAGATCCGGGTCGCTGTTTGCGACCGCTTTGTTCTCGCCCGGTCCATTCACCAGTGTGGAAATGTATTTACAAGAAACTTAGAAGGGGGTGAACGGTCGATTGGAAAAATGCACGGGGAGGGACTGGAAAGGGAAAGCCGTACCTGAAAATGGGGCTTGTCGGTCCCGGGCGACGCCGGAATCTGAACCGTGTAGAATTTCTGTTCGAACTCGGGTTTGTGGTCATTAATGTCCGCCACATCGATGATGACCCTCGTAGTCGACGACAAAGGAGGCCTGCCATCGTCTCTCACTGTAACCTGGAAGCATGAAATCGCCAATCAGTAACAACGTAACACATCATCGAATGCATCTAGTTTGAAATCGTAGCGCGACCCATTCAAAGATATGTAATATTGCATTATAAAATACGTCCGTAAATCATTGTAGTTGCATGTTGTTATATTAAAGTGGAAAAATATTTCTTAAAAAAAGCAATAAAATCACTTGATAAATTATAATTTTAATTAACAAATTGTTATTATATCACTAACTGTTACACCATCAAATATGAAATTGCATTTTCGTAATATAATTACATTATAATAATATAAAGGAAAATATATGGGCGCAATATTTTCATAAATATGAAAATTTTATTAATTAGAAAATACAAATGTTGTTTCAAGAGAGCCTCTGCTATCGAAACGAATTTAGCAATATGCGTATACTGGGAAATAATTTTAGTAACCGACATCGGTAATTTCAGCGAATAAATGAGTTAACGCGGATTCTGATTAATTCATGGTTGAATTAACACAGACGTTGAGCTATCAACAAATCAAATCACAGCATCAGCATATCGTTGACTCGATTTATTACTATCTCATAATGAAAGCGCACGATCAGCTTTACTACGCAAATTTCAATCTCTCATCGAAACACTCATTAATATACAAAATCTGCTTCCATTATCTCGTTCCGTTGCATTGAAATAGATATTCGTATATCTGAACTCTACAACCATAACGTTGAAGATACGTTGCGAATGTACATGAATTATTGTTTTCATTCGATTATTCGGGGGAGGGGAATGCGTAAAATGCATACGAAAATAATACACTCCGCCGTTTGCGCTCGCGTTATCAATTATCAGACGCAAAGTGGAGGAAAAGCGGAAGAAAAATACGGCTAAGAAAGAATCCCGCGTAATGCGATATCCTTCTAGATTTTTCGCCGGTATGACTTTTCGTGCGGCCACACCCCTTTTTCCCGCTTACTGTAGCCGTTGTCTTATCGCGCACGTTTCTACCTTCTTTCTCGTCGTCCTGCGAAATCCAGGACTCTCATGCGCGAATATCGCACATACGATCTCTGCAGTCGACGGTGCTGACCGGAGGAAGAGAAGGAGGAGTAGGAGCTTCCTGGTCGTAAAACCAAGTGTCCCCGCATCCGAGACGATGTCGCAAATTCGAGATTTCGGCCTTTATACCTCGCATCGTTGCGCGAAGCGGATTAAAACCCGTATAATTTTAGTGATCGCTGTCGCAGATAGTCGCATAAAAATAATCTCTAAGAACAAGCACTTTTTTTTTTTAGCCGTTCTAATTACTGTCACTTTAACAGATATGAGCATCGACGGAAAAGAGAAACAGCTCTCTGTAATGAACGTCAAACTTGTGTCATCGGGTCACCGTTTTAGGCCAGACAAATAAGCTATAATTAATCTTCGTGAATAAGCCACGCGAGTACTAAGAACGCTGACTGTTCGCGTAATTTTAGTCGCGCAAGATTTAATCGGTCTTTTCGCCGAAGCAGTCGTACGTCTGGCAATAGCCGCTCTCATTCTCATTCGTACAAAAACTGAAATATTTTTCGCAGTTATGCAAGAAGCGGAATAAAGACATTCCTTATTCTATTTCACGCGCTGCAAGACCTATTTTCCGGAGCGGCCCTTCGCGTCAACAGCACAGACTAATAACGAAGCGTGTAATTTATCGCATCGAGCGCTCTATTACGAGGGCGATCTGTCCGTCCGTCCGTCCGGCGGAAGAGTCGAGCGGACCGATGAGAGAGAGAGAGAGAGAGAGAGCGGAGCAGTTACGAAATTCTCTGTCTCGGGGCCGCCGCCGTCCCCGTCGTTCTTCGGCGCAATAATCGGGCCTCTCACGAAGCAATTTCCGTCTGGCAGCGTGCAGGACGCCAGGAGGGAGCTAGAGGAGGACTGCGGAGACCACGGCGTAAATCCAATGTCCCCCAGGACATCTCGCGGCAGCGGACTACGCGTCAGATCCTCCGAGGTAACACCTGCACTAAATTAGGAGTACGAAACTCCGTTTTATACACCGGACGTCGAGCGCTGGGTTGGGACACTCTCATCTGCGGCACGGCGACGCGACGGGGATTCCCGCGTAAAAGTACCTCCATGGATTTCTCCCGTATGTGTCCGCGGTGTGCAATTGTCCACTTGTCGCGCTGCTCCAAATTTATTAAACAGAACACCATGTACGAGAGCAAATTACTCTACATTTCTTTATTTATTATTTTTTCTTGCATTTTTTTATCCATCGCGAGACCGGTGTGCCGATCATTGCCTCAAGAATTTATCTGAATAAGATTCGAATGAAATGCAATATAAAATATTTTTTGACAGTATCAATTTTTATTCTTGCGCCACGTCAATTGTGTGACGAGAAAACGATCTGTCTTCTTTCACTGAATAAATTTGATGAAAATATCGGCATTAAGATTCCGCCACGTTTTGTGCGTTTCTCGGCGGCTATATAAGTTTCAACACAGTCATCTTCCCGTATCTTCAAGGCGAAGTAATATATTAAGTGTCCCGCTTCTGGAGCACCCTGTACAAGATGAACATGGGTCCTCACGACGTGGTAGATTTAAACGCTTGGCCGATCGCGCTAAATCCGTCCGAGCGTCGTCGTATCTCGCCCGGAGGTGCGCCTCGCAGGTTTCCTCGCTTCGCACTCCCCCCCAAGCACCCGCAATTTTATCATTTCACTCGGCAAGCGAGAGTGCTCGCGCGCTTGAGGCTACTGAGACGGTTTAATATCGGTTCGCGATCTATGTAAACCGCACGGAAGGGTGGCGGGATTCCGAGAAGGCAAGTCAGCACGGCAAACATGCGAATTCTAAGTAAAGATTATTATCCCGGCGCACACACTAAATATGTCTTCTTTTCCAACAGCCTATCCAACTATGATGAATGCGCGTTAACGATAATTTGCTTCAAATTTCTCGAGCAAATCGCACTCGTGATTGTTGTGTAATCTGAAAATTTCCGCTCGCATAAAACTGTATTGCTGAAGTGATTGTATAACGTATATTTTTCCACACAGAACAGTTCTTTTTATTGTAAAAATTATTACTAGATTTGATCAATTCATGATTGATCTAATAGATAATTAAAAATATTGGAGAATTATTATTTGTTGCAAGTTTCAATATTGGATGTTATATTACATATACATAATTAATACCGAATATATGCGTAATTAATGCTAAATTACAAATTGAATTAATTGGGTTAAAAAACATGTTTTACTATCTCCAAAAATCTTAATTTTCAATCAGATTTTATTTAAAAAAATTAATCGTATACTACTTAAAAAAGTCGTAAAAAATAGTTCTAGAATGAGATCTAGAGAGATCTGGAAATTAAAAATAATGAAAAGTTATTCATCCTTCTAGCAGGATCTAATTATCGAAATAGCCAGCATTCGACGGAAGACAAAGCGGTGCAGTCACTATAGCAGTATTCTCGCGCGTCAGTGATCGAGCCGCATAATTTCTCCGGCTCAAGCATCGGTTGAGCAACGAGCGATAAAGCCGTCGGACTTTTCGAATAACTTGGCGACGTGTTTCAGCGGCGGTAAACATCGCTCGGTTGTATCTCGCTGCGAGGCTCTGGCCGAGAGGAACCGTGTTTTCCTCGTGATTAGGGGTAATAGCCGTGCTTTGCCGAGCAGTTCTTCAGAACCCCCTCATTCCCCGCCCCGCCCCGTCGTCCGCTTTTACCGCCGACGCCGCTCCTCTCGCTCGGCTCTCCGTAATTATCTCGGCGGCCTCTGGTGATTTCTCCGGGCTTAACCCCGCGTTTGCGGCTAAATCCAAGGAACTCGCCACTAGCTACGAGAAGGCACTCGCGACAGCCAACACAGACGCCGTAATAAACTTCTGAACTGCTCGCGCGGAATGCCGCGCGCGGTTTCGCAAGTAGCCGCGCGCTGCTTTTCATCTTGCATCGTAATTGCCGGATCGGCCCGCGACTACTGTGTTTTCGATTTCGCGTTATAATTTACATAAGATTGTCGGCGAGGATATCATGAATTTTTTACTAGCGACGATATTTCCATAATTCGAAGTTGTTTCGGTTCAACACGATCTTTTTACGTATTAAAGTGTCCGGTTTAATTTAACGCCACCGAGAATTGTCGGCGAATCGGAGATTCGTATCGCGAGAGAATCAGCCTCGTCGACAGTTGAAAAGATGTTTCGCGTACGGCGTAAATTGTCGACGGTGGTGCCCGGTAGGCGTCATTACGCTTCTCGAAATTGTCTTCGCCTCGAAAGCCACGCGCTGACTTTTACGGCATCGTTTATGGCGAACGAATAAGCACGTACTAACCGCCCGCCGATATTACAATCCTAACGGGCGCCGAGAACAGAGTTATCCTATATTGCGTCCGTTCGAAAATCGAAATACTCGCCCACGCAATTAGGGGAACGATGTGGAACAGCGACGATGTCCTCTCGTTGTTGCGGAAACGAGCGAGTGCGATTTAATTTCGCTCGAATAAAGCGAGCACTCGACAAGTTTTGCGTACGTGATCTTTCTTCCGCTTTAATAGCGGCGCGGGAAGCACAAACCGGAAAATCCGGGCTTATCCCGAGGATATCGGAATATTCTCTGATCTCCTTAAAGCTCGGTTAATAATAATCGGTCTGTGCCTGCGGGAAGTTTCTATAATAATTTGGACTCTCATGTTACGTGGCCGGAAGAAATCCGCGTGCTGACCGGCTAATTTCGTAATTACCGTAATAAATTTGCATATCCAGCACGCTTTCTCCGCAAAAGTTAATTTTCCGGAAATATTGCGGAGCTTCTTCTAAATAACTGTTTCTCGTTCGAATCTCGTTCGCGCCGACGCCAATGGTTCTATTTGGCAGGCCGAAAACTTTGCGCGATGCTCTATCCTTCGTTCCTCCTTCTCTCCGTCTTTCACTTCCGCTCTTTCTCTTTGAAAGTAAACCGACAGATCGTTAAGGGAATATCACTCGCTCGCCGAAGCAGAAAAGCATG